ACTCTTAAATAGTTACGCAGCTCTCTCACTGTCCCTTCACTCCCCCAGTTTAAAAAGAGTCCCCAAACGTTTTAACACCGCCGCATGCTACAACCCCTGCTGAGTGCTAGGAGCAGCCTCCTGTTGGCATCCTTCACATGGTCAATTTATAACCACAGAGTTTGGTCTGAGAGCCACCAGTCTCCAAGAGAGCAAGGTGAGGTATCTTTATTTTATTCAATTTATATCCCACTCTCCCCACACAGCAGGCTCAGGGCGGGTTCCATCAAATTTAGTAAAATATACCAATTAAAACACCAACAAAATAAAACACACCAACATCATTCATCCAGTGCAGGTTCAAGTTAAAGCCTCACAGATGTCATCTCATCTCTTTCTAGATGTGGTCCTTAGATGGTAATGCAGTTCTGACCCACTGAGGGGAGGCCCAGTAGAGAGGGAGGGATGTCTGTCGCCCTAGTTAAAAGCCTGGTGGAAGAACTCCATCTTGCAAGCCCTGCAGAACAGTGCAAGGTCCCACAGGGGCCCTGATCTCACATGGGAGCTCATTCTACCAGGCAGGGGCCAGGGCTGAAAAGGCCCTGGCCCTAGTCGAGGCAAGACGGACATCCCTGTGGCCAAGGTCCACCAGCAGATGTTGGTTGGCAAATTGTAAACAGTGTTCCCTCTAAGCTGAGTTAGTGTGAGTTAGCTCACAGTTTTTAGCCTCCAGTTCACACATTTTTGTCTTCGCTCAGGAAGGAGAGCTCCAGAGCAAAGTAATCTATACAGAAGAAGAGATTGGATTTATACCCCGCCCTTCACTTGGAGTCTCAGAGCGGCTTACAAACTCCTTTCCCTTCCCCTCCCCACAACAGACACCCTGTGAGGTGGGTGGGGCTGAGAGAACTCTGACACAAACTGCTCTTTTTCAAGGACAGCTGTGCCAGAGCTTGTGACTGACCCAAGGTCACATCAGCAGGTGCAAGTGGAGGAGTGGGGAATCAAACCCGGTTCTCCCAGATTAGAGTGCGCGCACTTAACCACTACACCAAACTGGCTCACAACTTTAATGCCAGTGGCTCACAAAGTAGAATTTTTGCTCAGAAGACTCCACAGCTGAGAGGGAACATTCATTGTAAAGCCTCTTCAAGCACTCTAGACTATCACATGCAACCAAACTTTTAAAGAGACACACACCCATAAACAAGGAATCGTTACAGGTGGTCTTGCAGATACGCAGACCCCTGGCTGTATAGGTGTCAAACTCGGTGTCTTGTTTGCCATGTCTTTCATTTGTTAAGGGGCTTCGAGTGGGTACTGGAATTCCAGGGGGGGTGAGTGGATGCGTGTGAGAATGGCTTTGTAGTTGTAGCTGCGTAACTCTTTCTAAGTTTCCTCCCTTTCCAGGGATGTTCAGCGATGACCTTGGTTGCTGTCTGTGCTTGCTCTGCAGCAATAGATAATATAATGGTAGACTCGCAGGTGGGGGCTGAAACCCATGTAATCTAGGCAGGCTGAGTGTGGGTTACAATTGGTCTGATCCAAGGGGGGGAGCTTGTTTGAACTTTGTAGAACTTTGGGCCTTGGCACCAGGACTTCAGTTCTGAACCTGAAGTCTTAGCTTGAAACATCTTTATGCCTCAATAAACAAATAACTGCCAGAGAGTGTTGTTGAGAGTAACTTTGTTTTTGGGTTTTTTGTTTGTAAATTTATTTTGATTTTTCCACATTAACATATTTGATTAGTTTTTATACATATCATAACACAAAATTCATCTTTCTTGTATCTCGTCACAAATCTTAACTAGCATTTTTCATTTTATCTTCTTTATCTTTAGCCAGGTGTAAATTTTCCCCCATCTGTCCCAGAACAGCTCCTCTGGTTTATTTTGTAATGTTATGTTTAGTTTATCCATCTCTGCTATTTCTAGAATTTTGTATTTAAGTTCTGCTATGGAAGGAGTGTTTTTGGATTTCCATCTCTTTGCTATAAGAATTCTAGCTGCTGTTAATATCGGGGAATCTCCATCTCCTGGAAGTCCCAGGCCCCCGAAGTGTGAAGTTTGCCCAAACTAAGGCCAGGGCGTTTTCGGTGGCGGCTCCTACCTGGTGGAACGAGCTCCCGGAGGAGATCCGAGCCCTGCGGGACCTCGTACAGTTCCGCAGGGCCTGCAAGACGGAGCTCTTCCACCAGGCGAGTAGGAGCCACCACTACCATCACCAGTGTTC